CCGACCATATTATTTCGGCTGGCTTAGTCGGCTAAGCCGGCTTAGCTGCGGCTGCCCTAGTCGGCTTACAACACTAGTCGGGTAATAAATAATGCACAGAAATTATATACGTAAAACGCGTAATCAATTAAATTTTATTCTGAGACATCGCGGAGTTTACTTAACTGTTAAGTATATCTTATATTCCGCACACAAAAGATGCGGTAATAGTATTCTAAGCCCATATTCTGCTCTTTGGCTAATGCTTGGAATAGTGTGCTGCAGATAGACCACTATGGTTTGTTATGCGTTGTAATGACTTGTAGTGTCTTAGCTTGGGCCTTTATTTAACTGTTAAGGGCATTTATTTAAAGTGATTAGCACGGCTGCCATGGAATGCCACTTGGCATGCCATATCCAATTTGGTTGATCTATAGTATAGGTGGGCAATGTAGAAATATTATAAGATTATAATATATAAAAATAACTATTTGAACTAATTTAAGCAAATTTATAAATAGTTAGGGTTAGAGTTTTTATGTATTATAATCTTATAATATTTCTATATTACCCATCTATACTATAGAAGATCCTATAATTTTTATGAATATTAACGTTGCGGCGAATTTATGAAATTAGAGCATTTTGACATGCGTCATTTACTATCCGTTTTTTTGACATTTCTTATTGTAAAATCATATAGATTATGTCTAACCCATCTTCCCATAAAAAGATGGGTTAGACGTTATCTACATGATTTTACAATAAGAAATGTCAAAAGCAAATAGTAAATGACGCATTTCATAGTAAGTCAAAATGTCCTTATTTAAAATATACCGTATTTATACGTCTGCTATGTTTGATTTATGATTTGCAGTACAAGGTCTATATAATTCCCAATATTAAAAAGTTTTCTAATAAAGAATCAAATAACACTTATACTCTCTTAAGGTGAAATTTAATAAACAAACCTAGAGAGATACAAAGAGAAATTCAAATTTTATTCGTGATTATAAAAAATAAAATTATATAAATTTACTGTATAATAAATTTTTTTTTTTTAAAAAAAAAAGCTAAATTGTAACAAATTAGGTTTGGGTACAAATTAGTGGTTTAATGTAATTATTTTTAAATAAAAGTGATAGTTAAATTTTGTGTAATATTTTAAGTGTTGCGCACTGTTTTAATATTCCAAAATTTATCTATAAAAACCGTCTTCCTACAATTACAAGCGTTACTATTACAGATTTACATATTTCTAACTGCTTTATTGTAATAAAAAATAATTGTTCTCATTTGAATTAAATGTTTTTTATATTTATAACAACAATATCCATACTTCTGTTGCGTTTTTATACGATTTGTATACCAAAGGCATTATGCTCCATTATTTTAAAATCATACAAGATGCGGACTTATGAAACATCGAAAGTTATCTCATACTCAGATAAGAATAAGCCTTCACGATAACAACTAAGCTTAACGAAAAAAATCCATCATATGTTTGCATTAAAATATTTCCTTATCATAGGCGATAAGGAGATGTAGCTCGTAGTTCAATGTACGTTTCATCTTCAGTATCATTATTCTCGAATTTGTCTTTATCATAAAATGTGTTCGACAAGCTTTTCCTTAGCAAAGCTACACTTGCGCTAGTGATAGAGGAAATACTAACATAACTACTATTTTTTAGATAGGATCGTATATTCTCATTATAATCCATTTCATCGTCGCTAGAATTTACAGGAAGAAATACATGCTCTTCATCTCTAAGATCTTCAAGCTTTCCACCTTCTAGTTTCTTTTTTATAACTTGATCGACAAGCCAAAATTGCACTGTGTTCATAACCAAAGGGAAAACTAACATTACAAATACAACTTGAAGTTTTGCATCGTATAGAGTCCATCCCAAAAACCATTCTCCAAAATCGAACAGAAAAGGAAAACTACGAAAAGTAATAACTATAACGATTTTCATCAATAGTATGCAAACAATGAATGCTATAGTTTGTCTGGCCCACCATTCGAATCTCGGCGGATCACCATATTCACCGCTTTTTACTCCTAAAAATATAAAGAGATTAAAATAAATGACAAATGGATTCTAATTTCTATTGTGCCATGTTAAACTCACCTTCAATACCAAAAGTACTTGCTAAATATTGTACAGGTTTAAGAAACACATATAATATAAATACACCTACTGTACAATCCACGAGTATATTAAGAAAATACCTAGAAGAAAAATTGAATTAACTAATATCTATATAATTGGCACAATAAAAGCGTAACTTACCACACACAAGGATTTGTATAATCAGCTTCAGAAGATCCTGAAATATAAGAAACAATAATATTCAACCCATGCACCATGCTTGCACCCAACATTTGTTTGCTAACATCGTAAAACCTTTAGGATGGTAAAAAACAACATCTGTTAGTAATTCGTCAAACATATTAGCTTTTAAAGTCAAACATTCAACAGCCAGCCATACCATATGCGCATAGGTCTTTGTGGTCGTTCTCTATGTCTCTTATAGATAAGAGTTGAAAACGCGAATGCACCCAAAAGGATCTGAACAAAAATTGCAAATTTATCAACCAAAACGCAATTTTTCTGAAGATTTTCCCCCATAGTTTAGTATTCACTTTAGTTAAAGGAGCGGTACAATGTTTTATTTTTGAAATTATAAGAAATATTAATAATGGAATCTGATAAAAGCGTTGACTACCGCGTCGTTTTTTTGGGTAATCTAATTAATTTTCGGCATAGAGCCTTACTAAATTTAGAAATAATCAACTTACTACATGCACGTGGTACTACATTATTCACGATTCGGATCATTAGGCAAAGTAGTGACTACTACTTGTGGCACAGCTATGCCGTAGAGATCGTACGTATTACCCGAGAGTTATATTGCCGTGAGTTGATGTAGTATGCCGTACAGCGTTACTACCCTGAAAAATTTCGCTGGCTAGTAAACACAAAAAATCAATAGTTCTGTACGAGATGGTTCACGCGCTTTACACAATTATAATCAATTTTCGTATACCATCCAACCAAGTCGCTGAATATATATAACAAAATCCAAATTCTTTAACATTAGATACCGTACGTATAAGCGTGAAATAACGCCCACCTGTGCTAATTAATTGACCTGCACGTTATTTTGAATACACTTATGTGCTTTATTTCGAAATAAGAGTAGATTTTCTAGCCAACCTTACATAACTGCACGTTTTTGGGTAAAAGTGCATTTATAGAGTATTCATTTATGGAGCATAATCTACATATAACTGATAACGATAATATTTAAAATAACATTAGGGAAAGCACATGTGATGTGCACTTATAGTGAGTGCACATATAAACTATATGCTACATTAGGATGCGCGTTTGCCCATGAGCGCTGATATCGAGAACATACAAGTTATTTTTGAAGGAAAAATAACGCCCACGAGGATATGTTATTGAGTTTAATTGCATTCAATGGTTCTAAGCTAAAATTCTCTGATGCAGTCATTAATAAACTATAGAATCAATAAATAAAAGATTATTTACATGTAAAATAAGAAAATCTTGGAGTAATTTTTCTAACAAATGTCCCAAATATGTAATACAATACAACACTCTTTTTTACAAATATACAATAATAAAGTTGTTTAAAAAACAAATTATATATTTTGAAATTTTATTATTATTTAGACGAATACTGTAATTATTAGTATATACAGTAGAGGCTAGAATTTTGGAGGTAGCTACCCCAGCAAAAATATGTCGTATGTCATTGTCATTTAAAAACTGGAAAAATGGCGACGTTTTATAGGCTGGAGCCTCAATTCTTAGGTCTTACAATTTATATAGAATTAAATTTAAAATAGTACATATTTAAATTAAATTTTATGAATTCCTATTATTTTTAATATTACATTTATAATAAATTCATAAATAAAGTAATCTTTGTTATTCTAATAATCTTTATAGCAAATGTGCACTTTGTCCTAATTTTTGTAATCTGTCAAAAGAGAATGCACTATTGAAAAGAAGATTGTTAAGGGTACGACCCTTGATACACCTATGAATGTAAGACCTGTTGCAAATTCTTTATTTCCAATATTTATGACAGCTTACAGTAATGCAGTAATGACAAACCTTGTGATTTATGAATTGTAATTGTCCAGGCAAGTTCCTCATACTAAAGTTGGCAAGTATAGGTTTTTTGGACAAATAATCATTACTATTAAATTAAAGCAAATAAAATTAAATCCTTACAACATCATTTCAAACCTCAAATCAGGTTCTTAGGGCCCACAGTTTGGTATCAGGAATCAAAAGAAAAAAACCCTACCTGAGCAAAATTCACAAGAAGTATAGATTAGAATTTGCAGTAAACACGAAAATTAGACCTATGAAAACTAGGCTCAAGTTATTTGGTTTAATGAGTCAAAGTTCAAAATTTTTAGATCAGATGTCAAGCAATATTTATGAAAGCATCCTGATAAACTGTTAAATGACTTCCACATTAAGCTTACAATGAAGTATGGAGATAGTTCTGTAATAATTTGGGGCTGTTTCACATCTTGCAATATTGGTAGTTTTTACCAAATCAAAGACAACATGGATAGTGAGTTATATTTGCAGATACTTTGTGAGAATTTTTTGGGTATAATTAGGGATCACAAGTTTGATCTTTGCAATATTATTTTCCAGCAAGACAATGATTCTAAACATACAGCAAAGTTGATGATATGTTAATTAAAGAATAATCAAGTCAGGGTGTTAGATTGGCTGCCAGTCCCCTAATCTCAACCCATTGAACATTTGTGAAATGAGGTCAACCATTGATTTAGAAACCTCCCTGGACAAATTTCAAATAAAGAAGACCTGTGAAACAAGATTCAGGTGGTTTGGAAACAAATTGGTGTTAAGACCTGCACTGACCTAATTTGATCCATGCCTGAACATGTTTGTGATATTATCAAGGCTCATGGTAGATACACTAGATAGTAGAGGCCAAAAGGATTAGAATAGAAAAAAAAATTTTTTTTATATGTAAAAAATTTTTTTTATGTTTTAATATTGTGTTGCATTATATACGATCAAAAGTAATACAATATGTTGAATGAAATAAAATTTGTATTAATGAAAATTTAAGATCATTTATTTTTTTTGAATTTTTAATACATGAAATTTATAGTATTTATGAATAAATTAAAAAAAAAGGATATACCTAGAATTGCTCGAAATAACATGATCTAAGTAAATTTTTTTTTGCTCTATTACTTATGATCACCACTGTAATATTCTAATGTTATCAAATAGATATCTTTTGATAAATTTACAGATTAGAGTAGCTTGCTAAAGGAAGCTATGGCACTGTTTTTAAGGCAATATGAGCTAACAGATATATCCAATATTGGGATAATGAAAATAATCAATAGAAAAGAAGTCTGCAAAGAAATGTTTGTCTAAATTGTTTTAAAAAAGATATTAAAAGGAATTTTTAAATAAGGTGAAAATTATAAATATATTATAAGTTGAAACTCAATATAAACATGGGTGGATTTAGCAATTGCAATTTACAAAATAAGTAAGAACCCAGATGATGATAATTAGGGAAGTGTCATTTATCATCTGATTATTTTAGCAAGGGGGTGAGTACCAAAACACCATGCCAATAGATTGCATGTATATATGTTTATATATAATCATAATCATTTGAGGGAGGGAGATTTTACTATTTGCAAAAAATCAGCTAATAAATAACACTTCCCTTATATGATGGTTATGTAGTATGCAAAACAAAAAATTATTAGATAGTAAATAGAAGGATTAAGTTGGCAACATAAAATTCGTAGCTTATATCACACTAGCATATAACCCTTCGCTTTGCTCCGGAATTAAGAAATAATGATAAGTATAGAGTTAATATATACTATAGTAGTTGTAGTAAGTAATTCAATTACACAGGTTCATATTCCAATGCACAGAATTTAAACATGAACCCGTGGATGCCCCAAATTTGGAAATAAAATAAAGACGATCTTTTTATAACCAGCCAATCAAATTATATTTTTGTCTCATGGTATTTGTCTCATAATGTTTGTCTTATAGTGTTTATCTCACAGTGTTTATTGTTATAGTGTTTATCTACACTATTATATATTATATATTGATAGCTAAAGTGCTTTTTGCAACTCACAAAGCCAATTTAGTGCACAAAGATTTTCATTCCGGAAATATAGTTAATGCAATTATTTGGGCCAGTGTTTCAAGATTCAAGTTTTAAAGAGATTGTTGGTATACTTCCTTATATTGCACCAGAGGTGTTGTATAGAGAAAATAGACTAAAGAATTGGATATTTATTTTTTTGGAACAATTATGATAGAAGTTTTATTGGATATCCTCCATATCATGATATTCCATATGATAAGAGTCTAGCAATTAGAATTTGCCTAGGCCATAGACTTGAAATCAGGTGTAAAGTTCTGCAGTTACTTTTAGATTTAATGAATGAATGCTTAAATGCTGAACCTCAAAACCGACAATCTATGAAGTGTTAGCAAATTAGCTGAATAATTTTTATTATGATTTTGGAAATGAGACACCAGAATTATAAAAACAAGTTGAAGAAATATAAAACTTCAATATACGATCAAGCCAAGTTGATTCGACTTAATTATCAAACGCAAACAAGCTAGTTATACGAGTCGATCTTTGAATTTTCAAAATTTTCCTAAACCAGTAAATGCAGGTAAGCTTATTAATTCTACTGGATAGTTGTCGAGAAACATCGTCCAAAAATTAGGAAAAGTTCGACTTCGTACGTAAAATATCACGTGATATTCGGTACGTGTAAAATCATTAATTTGATACGTGTCGTAGACTAGGCGAATTACGACATAGGATTAGGTGTAACGTGAAAACAAAACAAGTAGATAGCAATATATATATATTGCTACCTACTTACATTAGACTGTTACCTACTTATGAGAGTGACGAACAATTCACGCTTG